GCGTACACACATACACATATGATTCTTCAACATTTTTAAAACAAAAACACCAAAACAAACATACAACCATACATACATTACTATGATGAACACCTTTAGATAACAAGTGTAGTTAGTTTACTGCAACTTGCAATGAAATTAAAAAACGCGTTTTGCTGTTTTCTTCGGTATTTAGCACCATAAACTCCATAAACGTCAGCTATTATAAACAAAGATTTGCAGATATTGTTGCTTATACATATGTAGACGCACAATATGCACATACATACAAGTAAGTAATCGTTAATAAACCGACTACTTGTGTCACTTACAAATATCGAATATAATTTATCGCTATCGATTTCTTAACACTTCAAATTGGTCCCTTCGCATATTACGAATTCTTAAAAAAGACCAATTGGTGCTATCACAATTGTGAAGAATTTTATGGTACTAAACTTATCCGCGAATATGAAACAACGCTATTGATAATCGTATTTATCAATCCATTTTTAAATATATTTTTATAACATATTGATTTATTTCATATCTGATCGTTTTTTTTTTCATCTATTTTTGAGGCAGGAGATAAGACCAATAAAAATTAAAAAAATGGATTCGCACTTACATCAAAAATAACGTAACGTGTGCTTGGGGAACGACTTTGGCTTATAATCGTTACCCAAACTGAATACACTGTAATATGGTTACTTGCAGATTCTCAGATTGTTCAACACTGTACGACAATCAACGAAGTTGTTATAATAATTATATATGTAGATACGTCGTGACTGCGTTTTCATTCCATCTAATGTAAAAGTGAATAAAAATTAATTAATTTAGTTTTCAGTAGTTTATAAATATTGGCCAAGCCTGCCGCCCACAGCACCAACATGACTGAATCAACAAAGCCATTGCTGGGCTCGTGCTTAGCCATTGTTGCGGTAAGTCGACGTGTTCTGCCCGCACCCGCTCAATCAGTGCGACTGTGACTCGACCGGCTAAGACGTGGAAATATTGAAGCTTTTGTCAATGGCCATTCGACATGTGACAAGTGCATCAAAATTTTCAATAGCTGAACTTAAGCAGAGTGTAAATAATGTTGTATACCTTATGCTTATTCCAGGTTCTTCATGTCCTTTACCAACCAACAGATGCGTCTGGTGCGCTGCCCATGACCAGTGAAAATATTGATATGACATTAGGTAAGCCATAAAATGAATAAAAACAGTAGCAAACACTATATCAGTTTTTAGAATATAAACATTAAAAAACGCCGCATGGACCACAAATGTACATACATACATATTTACCCAATGTCTCAGCTGGTGCACCTACACACGCATTCATACATACATACATGTAAGCACACGCATTTACACACACACGCACACGAATACGACCAATTGTGTGTGAGTGCGCGTGTGTGTGTGTGTGTGTCGCTTGACGTGTCACAAATTGAAAATCTGAAGCTCGATAAATTTCACAGACTTTGCCAGCGTGGTTTACTGTTTCAGTTTACCTGTCACGCTAACTATACTAAACTCAATACTATAATTAGTCATATTTGATGTCATAATCAGCCGCTGAGCATAATGCCCAAATGCCATGGGAAATATCAATTGAACCTAAACTTACATTCCAATCTTACAAGTGTCACATATATTATCCTTAATGATCCTTAATGATACAATCCTATATACAGATAAATATCTGTATGTACATATATACATATTGAAATACATTTATGTGTATCGATCTGAAAGTGAAGCTTATCCAAGATGTAGAACTCATTATTATCAATTATCATGTTAATCATTAAACCAGAATTGAAAGCTTTAACAGTAGGTACTCACGCTTACAGTTGCTGATAAGACTAATTACTGTTGGACCAGGCCCTTGTCTGCCGTTGTGTGACATCTCATTCTCATTCTCGTACCATTATCTTATCGTAAAGTTGGCAATTATATGGTATGGATCTGTGTGTGCCATTTGATATGCCCAGCTGTGAGAGGCGCTGCAAAAAAAGTTAAAGAAAACACAACGTTGACTTTTTCAAAAACATGTTCCTTCATATCTATCATATATATACGTATAATATCACTTTAATTAGAAATATGATTACCTGCATTTCAATAACGATTGCCTAAAATGTTTTGTATTTTGTTTTTTTTTTTTTTCGTTCTCGCTCTCGTTTTGGTATCTTAAATATTTTCCAGCGTCTAACGAATTGGTTTTCCTTAATTTTTATGCGGAGTGGTGTCGGTTTAGTAATATTTTAGCGCCTATTTTCAATGAAGCGGCGGATAAGGTAAGCCAATAACTTAACTAAGTATGTATATTCAAATACTGTCCTAAAAAGCATGCACCTGCAAACATATCGAAGATTCATGTAGCCAAACGGAAGAGTTATAGAAAACCAAATTGAGAATTTGATATCGCGATAAGTGTGCCTCTGCATGTGGTTAATATTTCAGTTTTATAAAAATACAAAATTCTAGTTTACACCTGTTCGTTATTTCTTGACATAAACAAAAGAACAAAACAAATGGAAAAAAACCCACAAAAAATAAAATGGAGCACGGCACACTTTTGTCTCGACATGGCAGATGGTTTATTTATGTATTTAAATATTGCCTTTTCTTTTTTTTTTTGTTTAACTAAGTTTCGTGTGGTTTCAATTTTATATTCGCCTGAGCGAACCGAATTTGATACTGCTCTTGTGAGTTTATTTGTTTATTAATTTTGCAATCTGAAATTATAGATCAAAGCGGAATTCCCCGAAGCTGGGAAAGTTGTGCTAGGAAAAGTGGATTGCGATCGTGAAACGGCGATTGCGTCCCGATTCCACATCAGTAAATATCCCACATTAAAGATTGTCCGCAATGGACAGCTGAGCAAGCGTGAGTACCGAGGTCAGCGCTCGGCAGAGGCATTCTTGGAGTTTGTCAAGAAGCAATTGGAGGATCCTATTAAAGAGTTTAAATCTTTGAAAGATTTGGAGGTTCTTGATTCCAAGAAACGTAGCATTATAGGCTATTTCGATCGCCGAGATCAGCCCGAATACGACATATTCCGCAAGGTTGCAACCAACCTCAAGGAAGATTGTCAATTCCATGTTGGATTTGGCGATGCCTCTCAGGCAATGCATCCACCAGGTCAGTGGTCACTATAAATATATCTATTTACTGGTTATTTCAAATCGTAGGGCACATACTATATTTTCAGGCACACCCATTATTGTGTTCAGGCCGGATGTTGCCCTATCTCACGACAACGATGAGACCTATACCGGCAGCTTAAGCAATTTCGATGAACTCAAGGTTTGGATCCAGGAGAAATGTGTACCGCTTGTCAGAGAGATAACATTCGAGAGCGCCGAGGAGCTAACGGAAGAAGGGCTGCCGTTCCTGATTCTATTCTATCGTCCCGATGATCTGAATTCCATTAAAGATTACAAAGCAATCATTGAACAGCAATTATTGGATGAAAAGCGTATGTTTGCAGCATTACCCCTGTATATGTATATGTGTATATCTATAAATTGAATTGTTTATTATACTATTGCAGAGAATGTTAACTTCCTTACTGCGGATGGTAAAAGGTTTGCGCATCCACTGCATCACTTGGGAAAATCTGAGGAGGATCTACCCGTTATTGCTATTGACTCGTTCAAGCACATGTATCTCTTCCCGCATTTCAATGATATGTATACGCCTGGCAAGCTAAAGCAATTCCTGCAAGATCTTTACAGTGGGAAACTTCATAGGTATGATTTAATGCAACTAGTATTTTTCAGAAACTAATCAAACATCTTGTTACAGGGAGTTTCATTATGGGCCGGATCCCTCAAGTAATGAAGCGCAGTCTGAAAATGCGATTAGCGGTAAGGGTACATCGCCGCCTGAGTCTAAATTTAAGGAGCTGGGCCCTTCAAAACATCGCTACACCTTGCTGGAAAAAGATGAACTGTAATATTACAAATGTATATTCATTTAAATATAATTATTAAAATTTTATAAAATCCCAGTCAATTGTTAATCGTCTGTTTTATGACGCAACTCTCCACGTAATCTCTCATTATGCGCTAACAGCGCGCTTAAGATATAAATAACAATTGGGCAGCTTATCACGTAAATGTCAGGAATATTATTAAAGGAGCATAAATGTTAAATTTAAAACGGAAAACTATTTATTTGATTTATTTTTACTTTATATGCGTTGTAACTACGAACTCTATGAACAATAGTTCAGCTAGCAGTTTATGATCCACCGCCTAGATTAATGCAACTGCCAAAGATGCAACATTTTTGTTTTTATTAAAACAAACTCTTATCCTTCTGATCCGATATTAAACACTTCGAATAACCGAGACATGTTTGTCCCTCTCGCTCTAACTATTTCTTTCTCTTTTAATATGCTGCGTCTCAAGCAATCTAATCAGTTATATAAAAATGTGCTCTTCCATGAAGTATAGAGTAATTTTTCCAGGATTGACAAATAATTAATGATTCATTTGGGTTGCATCTTTTTTCTTTACTATCAATTCTCTCAATGGATCGAGCTGTGATACAGTTCTGAAATCGGATCGGATATGGTTCGGATCGAATCAATTCAATGCTTTTAGGGTCGGCTATTTCGTATCTAATTTCGAATGCCTTATTTAATCTGTACCCAAAATTGGCATCTATCAAATATGGTTGGATAAATCTGATGGTTAATGCCAAACCTATTTGTGCTTTGGGTTGGGTTTTCCGAAAAAGGCTTTTAGTAAATACAACTGGGAAATTTGAGTTCGAAACAGTTTTCGGTTTGATATAACATGTATTGTTGTTAAAAGAAACTGTAAGTGTGGCATTGCAGTTTTTTTTAACCAGTCTAATATATATATTTTTTTTATTAATTTTTTATTTGTATGTATCTATTACAATTATGTTTGTTTTTGTAAAATTAGATTACATATACATATAATATGCTAAAGTCAAAACGAGTAATAAAATGTTACAACGTGTAACAAATTCTGTTGTTGTTTTTCTTTTGTATTAGTGGATCGTAAAATCAATAGATAATGACTCGAATGCATGATTGAATGCATTTTGGGTGTTTGTTTTGACTGGTGGAGGGTGTAATATAAAAGTACATTTAAAAGTGAGTACTTGCTATGTAGTATAATTAATACGTAAGTTAGAAAAAATAGTTTTGATGGCATGCCCACTTTAATATGGTCTGGAACGCATGCCGCCATCATTGCGCATAGCGCCACCGTCACGACGGCCACCACCGCCGCCGCCGCCACCGCCACGACCACGTCCACCGCCACCGCCGCCATTATCATTGCCATAACGTGAATAACCGCCACCTCCACCGCCACCGCCACCGCTACGATCTCTATTTTGGTAGCCACCGCCGGAGCCGCGATCATTGCCACGATCATTCATGCCGCCATAGCCTCCGCCACCGCCGCCACCACCGCCGCCGTAACCACTGTTTCCAGAGTTGCCGTCTTCATCACCCTTTGGTGTCTTGCAACTAGAATGAAAGTATTACACGTTATGAGGGTTTGCCGATGATTTAGTAAAATGATTTAATGTCTCACCGATTGCACTCATTGCGCCAAGCAAAGTTTGTGTTGTTGCAGCTGCTGCATTTCCAATCTCCATCACGGGGTTGCACGTTGCCACCGGCACCTGCACCACCACCACCGCCGCCGCCAAAGCGACCACCACCGCGACCACCGCCGCCGCCGCTTCCACGGTCAAAATCACCACCGCCGCCTCCACCGCCACCGCGATCAAAGCGACCACCACCACCACCGCCGCCGCCTCCACCACCACCACGATTACGTCCAGCGAAGCCACCGCCGCGTCCGCCGCCGCCACCGCCTTTGTTCCAGTTATTTTGGCGCTGGGCCAGGGAAACTTTGATATTGGCGCCGTTGAAATCGTTGCCATCGAACCACTGAATGGCCGACTGAGCTGCGTTCACATCATCATATGTGACGGTGGCCTCACCCTTCGAAGTGCCAGTTTCCTTATTCTTATACAACCAAATCTTTGGTTTCATGGTGCGCTTGTCCTTCTATAATATGCAAAAAATAATAATCTATATTAGGCACAATGCACGAAAATGAATCATGATGGTAAATGGTACACTTGCCTTTATAATGCCAATGGCACCGAAGTGAGTCTCAATGTCCTGCTCTGTGGTGGATGGATCCATGCCAGAAACAAAAATGGTATCTTCTTGTGTGATCATATCGTTGCCTCCACCACCGCCACCGCCACTGCTGCCGCCTCCTCCACCGCTGCTGCTACTGCCGCCATATCCTACAAAACAGAAGAGCTCATTAGAAATGAAGGATAACGACAAAATGTTTATATTAAGAAAAAGGATTAACCCTCAGCGAAGTAGTGTGGGACTGCAATCGTATCAACAACACGCATATCAAAAATGGGGGCAGGACCAAAGCGCACACACTCTCTTAAACTCTATACGTATACAATATAAAGTGTGTATATATGTATATAACGACGCTTCTTATATGGTCATTTCTTGCATTTCATCTAGTTAATCTTATGTGGTATTGCTCTTTATTTGAAACCAGAATTTCAAAAGAACACCTCAGGGGTTGTAAATATATTACACCGATTTATTTATTTTTTGGGGGGGGTTTTGTTTTGTTTTGTTTTTTTTTTTTTTTTGTTTGGATATACTCTCGTTAAATAGGTATGTTTAGCTTGATATAGTTATAGACACAGTACACAGACGCACACACACGCACAGAAATGACACTTAATTAAAGATCATGTACCAAACCAATAGCCCTAAGAAATCTTTGTGGCATTTATTTACCAGGATAACCAGTGACCAGTGACCAGTGACCAGTGACCAGCGACCAGAACAAAGGTCACGCATTTTTATTAAACTCTGAACTTAATAACTTAATGCTTGAATACACCTTTAGACAACAGTTTTGCGCATAGGAGCTGGACTCGAAATTGACTCTTGACTAGGTTTATCGAATTTTGGATACGAAGCTTTTATACTCTCTCTGTTACTATTATAATTAGCACCAGATTTTTAAACAAAGTATAACAACACGCAAGTGAAATATTTGCAATTTCTTTTAGTATTTGTCGTATACTCTCTACATTTTGTTTTTTTTTTTTTGTATTGATTTAATTTTGTAGTAAATTAATGTTATACATTACTCGATATGATTGCAAATTGTTTTGCATTATTTTACCTTTGTTGTAGTTGTCCTTGCTGGCGCCTCCATTTCTAAAAGAGGATATTGAATAACTTATTTAATGTTTTGTTTTTGATGTTTGGATTGTAATGCATTATGATGAAGAAGTTTACGCCCACGCCTCAGCTTATCGTACAACAATATATGAACGTTTATTTATATATATATCTAATGCTTACTACTCGATACTATATATATATATATATATATATACTTATACATTTATATATAAGTCTATATAATGTTGCCCGACGACGATGTTTTACCAGCGCACTTTGATATCAATGTGACATGTGTCCGTCGCCAAAATTGAGGAGTTCTTTCTCATCCGTGTTCCAAAGCATCCGAGCGAACTCAATCAAAGTGATCTGGTAAATAACCTCTCATGGATATATATATATATATATATATATATGTATATAAAAAAATGAATTTAAATCTACTTAATTGTTTTCGTATATGATTTTGGCACGCCCATTACTGGGAATATACACATAAATCAAGAGGTTTTCGCCTCCGTTTATGAATAACTTTGCAATGCAGTGAAAAATGATCCAGGCTTCATTTTTATTCTGGCATAAAATGCTCCCTTCGCATGCTGAGCAAGATCTTTTCAAGATCTTAACCATATTGCCTTTAATTTTCAAAGCTCTGCATGGATACACTTTTACTTTGCTTGATATGGACAAATCATTAATTAAATTACATAAAACATAATACCAGACAAACTACATAACATTTTGTTGCAAAGCTAGTGTTTAAATCGAAAAATTAAATATATATATATATTTGTTCTTTGATGATAAACACTTACGATTACTTGCTTAGGGATAATAAGAGGGCCTATTCAATTTATTTAAATAAGCGTTTAAAAATGGTTTTAAAAATTACTAAAAGCCAGCTTGAATAAGTAATTAATAAGAATATAGAATTTGGCTTGGGGTATATCCGACTTGTGGCACAATTTATGGTTTGCATAGTAATTAAAAGCACATACAGACATATATTTTTCGGCTTTTCCATAATTGTAGCCAACATATTGTTTTCTACTTAAATATTTAATCTGTAATTTTGATCCAATCTTCTTAAAGGTTGTAACTTTTTTTTTTAGTTCCTTTATATGTTGCATAATTTCTATGTGTTATTAAAATAATAAATGAATTATGTTGTAAGCAATTAATGGGAAATATGTTTAATTGCGACGCAGGTGACCTTTGTACAATAATATTATATATCAAACACCCACTTTGATAAATTTTGATCCAGACCGCGCGACCGCGCTTATGGGACACCATTTTTTTATGCTATCGATAAGTCGATAACTGCTTGACAGACTTCGATTGTGTTCTACACATATGCAATCGTTTCCGAATAAAACCATATGGACATAGCTACTGTTATACTGTTATACCAACTCAGTTTTGTACAACAATTGCGATAATCTCTCGCATTAATGGTTCCAACCAACAAAATCAATCTATTTGAAAACATACGAGCGGGTGCCATGCGGAAAGTGTGCCCAAATTGCGAATTACTTGTTTCGAAAGGGATGGCATCCCGTTATGCTGGCAGGCGGCTTCCTTTTGCACACAACTCGGCGAGAAATTTACTGTTGTTAGTCGGAGCTTTTTGTAACACCTTAGTCTAGTTTAAACTCATACAAATATTCATTTGACTATGTTAAATGGTAATGTGTATGCCTATATATAGTATACCACTTGAACCTCTTTAAAATTGATTAAATCAAGAGTCGTGAATCACTCTCCTCTTCACTTTACAATTATACAATTATCATTAAAGAGGCGTAAGACTAAACAGACGACAGCATCTTTGCTTGCAGCTTTTGAACAATCATGGAAATAAAACCATATTTGCATTAGATACCACTTTGATTCGTTGTCATTTCAAATGTGCATTTCGCTATATCTTAATTGTTGTCATTCATTTTAATTCGCACACACATGAAGTTTATTTAGAATACCGAAGTCTACGTTTTTATCGTTGGCGCTTTAAAGGCGTGCAATTGATTAGGTATCTTAGTTATTTCTCCGGGTTTCAACTAAAACATACAAAAAAAAAATCAATAAATAAAACCAACACCAACTTGCTCTAAGATGTCCTTTTCTCTCTAGGCTTACGACATTTCTGCTTTTGATCGTCAATGAACACAATAAAAACATTTTTGGCTCTACTTCAATACGTTATGACTCTATATATTTTCTTCTCTTCTTTTTCGGTTGAAACTTTAACGAAGTTCTAGTCTTGTACATTTTTTTTATTGGCGTGTCCAATTTGTGAAAATTGATTTGCAGTTTTCTTTTCGATATTTACGTGGATTTCCGTGTTTTCATTAGTATTTGTATGTACATACATATGTAAGCTATTGCTTGATATTTGATGTTTCTCTTAATCGGCGACACACTCTGAATTGAATACTCGTTGCCTCACTTTACACTATCCCCAATAGTATTAAACGAAAAGCATAATAATAATAACATACCCATAAGAATTGCCTCTATCATTCCATGAGCCACCGCCGCCGCCGCCGCCGCTGCTTCCACCTCCACCACGATGGCCGGAATCATAACCTTAAAGAAACAGATTGTAATATTTTCAGTGAACAGTTTCTGTTTGATTTACAATTGGACTTACCACCGCCTGGTTTGTTATAATTTGGAGGGGGCTCATTATAATTACCAGTTTTGTTTGGCATTTGTTGGTAATTTGGCGGAGGAACAGCAAAATTATTGTACTGTCCGGCACCACCGCCACCGCCACCATAACCGCCACCTGAAAATTGGCAAATTCATTGCTATTTGCTCTTTGCTATACAGTTTTAAATGCACACTTACGATCCATAACTAATGCACGTATAAGCTAATTTCTTCTTTAAGAAAATTTTGTTCTTTTTAGAGAACTTCCTCTTTGCACTTTTTCAACTCAAGCGTCTGTCGAAAATTTGACTTGACTTTTTATTGTAAAAATGGCGTGTGAAATTAGGGATGTACAAAATGTATGTATCGTGTGCCTGTCAACTTATCGAAATCAAGCTTCGCGTTTAATCGATTGAATGTGGGCAAGATAGCGGCAACCATAAAATTTGAAGTCAATCAATTATCGGCTTTTTGGATAATGCATTTTCGAAAATATGATTGTAACTTATTGTTTTACACTAAAAACGGGTAGAGTAGGTCGGTTGTGACTGACTTTGGCGGTTACTGGAATAATATCGTAGTTGTATGAAGGCTTGCTCAACAAATATTTGGACAGTTTTATTTTGGATAATTTTTACTTTTTACATTTTGACTTGCATAATTTTTGCTTAACATTTTGATTTAATGTCAAAACCGAAATATATTGTAAAAAGTATTGTCTGTGTGAAGTCGAGGTACGTATGTAAATACTTTTTTGGTGTTTTCCAGCACTCTTTTTTAAAGCATGCAACCCTGCAATGATTGTTTATATTCATAATAATGAAACATTTGGTGTTTACGTGGAATACACCCAATGCAATTTCTTATCCTTTTAAGCATATATAACCCAAACAAGACAGAATGATTGAAATAACAGATCTCCAAAGTATGTGAGATATTCGCTTTAATTTATTGGCATATTAACCAATTTGTTTAATTCTTGCACAATATTTGCAGAAATCGGCATCGGCTTGGCTGGCTTCGGCATATCGTTTTTATTTCTTGGCATGTTGCTTCTTTTCGACAAAGGCTTGCTTGCTATAGGAAATGTGAGTGAGAATGTCTTTAAATTGTTATATCCGCTAAAGCTGTACCAATACCGTTTCCAACAGATTCTCTTTATATCAGGCCTTGGCTGCGTTATTGGAGTGGAGCGAACCTTACGCTTTTTCTTTCAACGCCATAAAGTCAAAGGGACAACAGCTTTCTTCGGTGGGATTGTCATCGTGCTGCTTGGTTTTCCCATTATTGGCATGATAATTGAATCCTATGGATTTTTTGCACTATTCAGGTGGGTCCACATGTTTAAGTGTAACACTTTGCTGATAACACCTTGAGAGGCAACGCGGTAACACGTGCAACATTTCCAAGCAATTGCCTTTGCTGAATATACGTTTTTGCTTTGCTGCAAATAATTATTCATAAACCCTTTTCTTTGCAGCGGCTTCTTCCCTGTAGCCATCAATTTCCTTGGCCGTGTGCCTGTTTTAGGATCATTATTCAATCTACCATTTATGCAAAAGGTAAGGTAAAACGGACAATTCGAACGCATAAGCTCAAAATTTACAAATAGTATATGTACATTCCAAACATAAGTGCAGTCGGAACGAATAAGTTAGTAATGCATTAAAGTTTGTCATAACAGAGCGGCTGAGTCCCAGCATCTGCATAACAATTCATTTTCACGTTCCCTATTAATAAATTTTAGTTATTTTCTTAAATATCCAATACCTTAAAAATGAATTCTTCAGAGAAATTTTAATTTGAATCTAAGCTATGTATTTTCAACATTTACAAATCCGCCCAGTAAGAAGAATTCAATGATTCTTGTTCCACTCCTCACGCTCGATGCGCTCTTTTTCAACCTCCTTCAGATAGGGTTCCAAGTACTTAACATCCTCTTCGTATTTGGTCCACTGCTCCTTAGGTAAAATGGTTTTCGTCATAGACAAATGCAAAGCACGAATTATGCGGTAGTTGCGCTCATCGTACAATTTGCGTGGAAGGCGGCGGATTGCTTCCTGAACATCTTCGTTCTCGTAGAGACAATCATCACGGTGCAGACCTATATGATATTTAGGATAGATTTAAAGAATGTTTGCTAGTGATTCTCATTTCTTACCATATTGGTTGAATCCGGACAAGTTGTAGGCCCACTTGCCCAGGTTGGCTGGAATGTGGAATGGCAAATTTTGTGTTACATATTTACGTAATCATCGAAATATGCAGCGGTTAGGTTGCGCTTTTTGCGATTCTGCAATACAATGGCTGGCATAATTAATGCATACTTACAGAATACCAAAGGTCCCTTCCTAGCAATATAGCTCGCCATTATTATGAATAATTCGTAATTTTAGGAAAGTCGCTTGCTTGGCTCTCGTTCCCTTTATTTTAGGTATGACAGCTGACAAATTAGCGATGGCAACCATGTACAAAAATTTTATCGATAACTTTTGATTTTATAATCGAAACACGTTAGCTGTCACTTGTGTACACCCACCTAATTTGTCAAAAACTAGTTGCAAAAGGCAGCAATACCAATCCTATATGTATATAAATTAAACAGTTAGTCAATTTCGTATTAATAATAATTATTATTTTCATTACATTTCAGATTGTTCAAAAGCTTGGTGGGGACGGAAATCGAACAACGGTATAATATTAAAGTATATGTAGCAAGTATTTGAAATTATACCAGAATATTTTTGTATAAATTAAATAAATTCGTTGTTGTGTAAAAGCTCTTGTTATACCACTAAATATAAATATTAATAGATATTCCTAAGTATGTACTAATGCATGTATGTGTTTTGCATTTTGCGGCGAACACTCAAACAAAATAAACAAGTCAAAAGAATGCCATAACTAAGTGCTATGAATCCAGGACTTTGTGCTGGATTTAATGTATTTAGCGAATCTTTGAATCTTATATTAAGACATTTAATTACTGCGCACGTTGTGTACGCGTTTGTCTCTCCCTCTCTCTCTCTCTCTCCCCCTTAGTGCAGTGGAAAAGAGATGGCAATACTATTTTCCTTCTCTTTTTTTGTCGTGCACATAGATTTTTTAACATTGAAAAAAAAAACTGTAGATATTCGAGAACTAAATTATCCCAAAGCTCCATATTCGCGATTTTTATGTCTGGCATTAAGAAAAAAAGGGATATTCACTTCGACGGGCTTCCAAGTATTTGCAAGTCGATTAGCCATGAAACATGCAGCGGATCGATTCGAATTTTTGATAAATCTACTTTATACGGGACCTTGTATATATTATACTCACAATTTATATTGCTTACACAAAGAACTGGATTTGAGTTACATATGATATAATGCGCAATTAATATATATATATATATATATATACTTTGAAAAATGACAACATGTGTCGGTAGATGGAACGATATGAAAACTAAATATTTATGTTTATTTATTTATGACTACAAAATATCAATATACAAATTAAAGAACATATACAAATTCATTATATATATATGCATAGACTACGGCTGGTATGGACGCGGCACTAATTTAAGGATATTTTGTGAACACATTTTATATACATATGTATACAGATACGAATGTATATATACTATGTATATTGTACATATATCAATGCTAGCCATAGTTTATACATATATGTATATATACATATATAAGTACATCACTGGGGGGTCACAAAATTGTGTATTTCGTTTCATTTATTTTCAAATTTCTGGGAAAAAATCATTTATTGTTCTTCGATGCAGTCAATGATAAGAATTCCTCCTTGCGAGCCAAGTATTCATTGTACCGAAGAAATGCATAGCTGAAAAATTAAGAATATATATATATATATATATACATAAGTCGAGTTACCTATTGTTGTTATATATGTATGTATCTATACGCTATGATACGCACCCAACATAATCAAAGTCAATAGTGGAATGCTCAGCTTGTAATAGAGACCAAACTGTCCAGAAAATGTGTGCTGCCAATGCGAATTGATTCACTTGGACAAATAGATGTTCAACTTCCTCGTTTTGGATGTTATTCCGTTGCAGATAATTCTCAAGGTAAACACGCAGCCACTCCAGTTGAAATTCCCGTTTCGGATATCGGGTATAGTCAACCTCATCGACGCCACACATTTCCGCAAAATGATTACCAATATCAAAGGCTTGAAAATTGTAATCAGCGTACTCGTAGTCGATAAAGTTGACAGCGTTCTTTGATTTCGTATAGACAACATTTCCCAATAGTAGATCGTTATGTGAGAAAACAATTGGACTCTTTAATGCCTCCAAGTATTTGTACAAGTTATTAAACTCTTCACGTAGTCGTCCAATAGGTAAAAATGTTCCATTCACTCTGCAATTAAACATCATACCATCATATTTGTGAATCTCACATAATCACAATGTGCGCGCATCGAGTAGACATTCTGGAAGTAGGTTTACCTTTTGTGTTTATCAGCATCACTAAATCGTTCAGGTACTAAATCAAGAAAGCTTTGCGTTTTTTTCCATATCATTGGCAATGGTTTGGCATCTCCATTCTTTCTTACCACACGATGCATTTCGGCCATGCGACGAGCAACCAATGGCCAAATATCTGGGCATAGCACACTTTCTGTATTTAAGGTGATACCAGGTACGTATTCGTAAACGAGCCCATTTTTAAAGGTTGCATAGAGCGATGGCGCCAAGCCGTACGTGTGCAGTAATTGAAAATTTTGCGTTTCAGCTTTCCGATCGATCAATAGGTCCGTTTTATTACCATATACCCGAACGAGTACTACGTTATCGGAGTATTGTACAGGTAAACGGTCCTTTGTCTCAGTATCAATCGTTGTAAATTCCTCTTGAAGGATAACTGGATCCTCAGACTGTACGGGCAATATTCTCTGCGCATTGCTAATTGATAGATAGGAGTCGTCATTATCATTGCCGAATTTGGAACTATTGTGAAAGCAGCCGACTAGCTTATTTGTTATGCCATCTGTAAATTTCTGAAAAACGAAGGTAATCAAAAGAAAATATTAAACAAATATTGTCATTGCATTCCATTTAAAGCAAAATGAAGTTAGTAAAAGGGGCGTTTTTTTTTTTTTTGTTTCTTTCACCCAAGCTAATGGGTATTATATATGTAGTTCTACAAATGTGTGTAAGAGCGACAACTGAAACCTTTTATAAGGAATGTGATCCATATATATTCATATATCACATGCTAGCTCAATGTTTTCATTGCATTCCCTGTAATCTTATAAAGCGATTTGACAAGCTTATAATCTTACTTATATATATAAAAAAAAGCTTGCTATCTATCAGACTTGTTAATTTCTTTACGATCTGATAATAAATACCATAGTTAATCAAATAACGAGTTTATGTGCTTTGTTTGTATTTGTTTGCGTTTCATGCATGTGTCTGTGTCTGTCTGTGTGTGTGTGTACAGGGTATTTTCTAGTCAAGAACTCTTGGCTGCAGCGTTTTAAGTTGTTTACACCCAAAGTTTAATTCGTAATATTTGATTAATCAGCGAACACAATCAGCATAGTTACTAATTCCACAAAATAATTTTGCACAGATTTAAACACACACACACACAGCAACATGTGTGTGTGTGTGTGTGTGTGTTGGTAATTAAAAGTGATAAACTTTGTGACTTTTGGAATGCCAGTTCGTAAACCGTAAAGCCCTCAATGATACGAACAAACATGTGCTCATTAAAACTATACTTATGAGTAGACACGAGTACGAAACATACATATGCACTCCGCCCCAAGTGTTCCGGGGGTCCAGGCGTAATAGTTTTGATAAGCCTCGGGCAAACGGTATATTTTTCAAATACAAACAAATTCTTTGGATTCAAGTGGTTCGCGTTAGCGCTAAGCACGACTTCCATTTACGCATTTGTATGTATGATGTATGTAGGTATGTATGTGGGTATGTATGTATGTGAAGATCATTATCATTAAAGCAAATGAACCAGTTCCTGTATGTACATGATATATGTACATATATGTGTATATATACACGCGTATACACGATCCATACGTATACGTGTTTTAGCTAATTGTCCATAATTGAACGTACAAATAGGTACAGCTGGTATTAGCACCCTTTTCAATAATAGTTAAAACTGGTTTTGTCGCTTCAATAATACTTAAACTACTTGACTGCCCTTACACCAAGCACCAAAGCGTATTTAAGTTAGATTTTGTTGTTATTTTATACATAAATAGCTGACAGTCCCACGTCTCGAGAATTGCAATCGCTTTAGCAATGCCCGAGGTGTCACGCCTTAATATTAAAACCCACAACACACGCACACACACACACACACACACACACACTCGTCATTAAGAGGTTGTGCAATGACCCTGCATATTTCCATTAACATTGAAAATTCTATCAACAAAAACAAAGCTGAATTTATATATTATATTATATATTTATATATATATATATACATATATATAAGTATATAGCTTTATAAATATATGTACAAGTTGTTATTGAGCCGAGATTTAACGAGTAAATATCTAATTGGATTCTCGTGTTATGCATTCAGACACAAACCTTTTCCTCTTTTTTTTTTTTGATAAATTAACTATATCTATATTTGGGTATACTATATACTAGGTATATACATACTATGGTTGTTTTTTATGTTTTTTGTTTTTTTGAGAAATGTGAACAAGTCGCGAAACTTATGAATGCCCAGTGTATTTACCATAGGCGCACATCAATTTGGATAAGAAGATGTACTGATAACAGATAACAACAATGGTTCGGATATGGATATCTTGCAAAAGTAGAAAATGGACACATTGATGTTTGTTGCTGGGTTTATAAAGCTTAGTTAAATTTAGTTTACATTACCTTAAAGTCAACGTGATTGAGGTCCCAATTCGGTCGAATTACTTTCAATATATCCTTAGCACCTTGAATAACATCAGCCTCTTCAACAAATATCGGAACAAATGGTACAATCACGTCTTTTGCTGTATTATCCTCCTGCTTTGGTCGTATATCACCCGCGTTCTGTTCGCTTGAATATGAATTCGAATTCAAATTTATTTGGTTCGATTGCTGTTTGACCGTTTGACGAACTAAAGATAAAGAATCTTTCATCACTTTAGGGTTGCCGCCACTTGTTGAAATCTGTCCTGTGTAACTGTTGCTCTTGGTTTCTGTGCCCATTCTATTGTATTACATATGAAATACGAGAGTGTCAGGTCGGGTCAACACATACATACATACATACAACCAAAAAAAAACAAAAAAAAAAATACAAAAAAAAAAAAAACAAAAGGTAGTAACCCACTTCGGCAGGCCGAGTGTACGCGACGGGAAACAGGAATTTTTCATTAAGAATGCTAATATCCTCCAGATAAATATTATTATTATTGGAATGAAAATTATTATCAATTTCATGATTACAATATATATTTACAATTATTCTTAAAAACATTTATTGAAATGTTCGGTCTCAGTTCAGGGCTTTAAAAGACTTTTCAAATGTTCTCAGTTCTCTGATCCAGTTATTTCAGCTCCGTATAAGCTCCCTCATATAAGATCTTGAGCTATGGGACAGTAGGATAAGGGTGTGAGTAATACGCATTTGTTTCTCAAAAAAGTTTTAAGATGAGCCATCTCAGATTTTGATATACAAATACATATGTACATATCTCTATGGAATTCTTCCAAAATTGTGTCTGTACGTGCATATTGGAGAGAGTTTCAGTGGCTCGAGCAGATACTGTGATAAGGGGATAGGCCTTTTCCAAACGTGGCGGACTACTTATGCCCAAGATAAGATTAGAACGTCAGTATGTACATATATACATAATTAGGTGCAATAAAAAGAATCATCATATTATTGTATGAATGTAAGCATGTGTTAAAATTCAAAACAATTGCAAAAGTTTTTAAGTTGTCTTTAGAAAAACACAAGTACATTACAATTATATATTTATATATGTATATCTACACATTTACATCATATACATATGTAAGTGTTTATGTACATTTTGTATCTACATATTTTAGATTTTTATTTCAGTTTTGTGGTTCACGCATTCTCCAATAGGCGGAAACACAAATGCAAACTTTAAAGTTGATGTGTGTATGTATGCATGTGCATTACATACATAAATACATACATACATATATGCATATGTATATTTTAACAGATCTGTATGTATGTATGTACATATACATACATAGATATGCATGCACCGTGTGTGTACATTTCATAAATAGTACGTGGTTCTTTGTTGGACAGCTTTTAGCGTCGTGTTAAGTGCTGGGTTGCAGGATGCCAAATTATCTTGTTTGCCATGTTAATAAATACGTGTGTTATATATATATTATGTATGCAAGATTAATAAAACAGAAGAAAAATATATAAGATAAATAAATAAATTGTGTACCAATATGTCAAGCGTCAACGAATGCAAACGCACACTGAGGTGAAGTGTTTTTTTTTTTTTAGTTTTTTTTTTTTTTTTTTTTTTACTACACACGTTACCTTCGGGTATTGATTGTTTTTTAAAGAAAACACAAAAAGCCGCGAAAACCACACAACTAAATTATTGATTTTAGTCTGATGGCGTTGCTTGGTTCGGAATGACAGGCAAGGGAATGAAAAGCGAAACAATGCTGGCGTTTTTGTCGTATAACAGCAGATGTGTTAATATTTTCGTTCTCGGTATTCGCTTTATACAATTTTATTTTGTTGTTTTTTCTATTGTTTTCGCTATTTTCTGACGGAACTTCCGACTCCGGACAGTGGTAGTAGTAAACTAAGCAAAATTCTCATATGAACTTAGGCGTGCAATTTCCAGCACTGTTGCTGTCAGTGTTTAATAGTACTTGTTCATATTAGGGATGGGTAAATATGCTCGTATCGAATCAACTTGCACATAAAGCTTTGTTATCGCTCACCGAATATCGCCGCTGTAAACACTTCCACATCCAATTTTAAAATAAATATCAATATATCTTTATATTTATGTCTGACACATAAATGGCTGCTTATAGTTTGGAAACATTTATATATATACTTTATCCTTGCCGTCTGTGTTATATAATGAGCACAATTACAAAAAAAATGTATTAACGTAACCCACCAAAAAATTATTTTATTCTATTCGTATTAATAACATATATGCTATTACTCCCTTTAAATTAAAATAGTTCAATTAATGAGCACAATCCCCAATTGACAAGGCCAAATTCACAAATAATTTGTCTTATACAGTAAACAGCGCTTTTAGTTAATTTTATTTTTGGTTCGCACCCACCACACAGAACCCGACCATTTGAATTGTAATCATTAAATTTAAAGCTGCGTTTTTTGTTGATTTTTTTTTTGACCATGTATTTTATACATATCTTTAAAATGTTTTTGTTTTCCATTGTACAGCTTTTCAATTTTATAAAAATATGAAATTAAAAAGACGATTTTTTTAAAGAATAACGCAGTGCAAATTCCCCATCTAATTAAAATGGTATTGGCATTACTTTTTCTGTTTCTTCTTTTCAAGTTCCTCCTCCTTTTCCTTTTCAATTATGTCCACATATTCTAAAATAACTTTGCGATCTAGCATTTTCAGAGGCTTGCCATTTTCCATAATGGCCACCTCCAAGTTATTTTGACCGGATTGGGCAACTTCGAGCAGTGCGCGAATGGCCAGCTTCACAGCACCACGTTCAGTGCTAACTTCCTCTTCGCGATACTGTTTTTCAAAGAATTCGCGTACCGTCTTTGCTGAACGCCCGGTGGCATTGGCTTTGTACTCATAGAATATGCCAGAAGGCTCGGTTTGAAATAAATGAGGTGAGCCATCAGCGTCAAAGCCTCCAATAAGGCACGATATGCCAAATGGACGACGTCCATTGCTCTGAGTGTACTTTTGTTTCAGCTGTGCAATATATCTGCAAGAGTTAGGCATTTCTTGTAATAAACGAAACTCAAATATGGCTGAGATCTGATTTTATTTACCTTGTTATATATTCAAGGGTCACTGGATCCTCAACATTCAGACGATGACTCTGGCATTCGACCTGGGCACGATTTATAAGGATGCGAGCATCCGCAGTCAGCCCCGCAAAAGCCATCACAACGTGATGGTCGAGTACGCAAATTTTACGAACTGTGCGGTCTTCCTGGAGCTTGGCTACTGATTTTTTCTCAACGCCTAAGACGACACAGTTGCCGCCACGGACACCAACCTTTATAAATATATGAATTAGTGTGCACACATGGGTAAATCTAGACTCATACTAAAACATAACAAATGGGGCACTCACCGCTGTGGAACCTTTGCGAACCGCTTCCTGAGCATATTCAACTTGAAGTAAATGACCATCGGGCGAGAAAATAGTAACAGCACGATCGTAACGTGAAGACATCTTTAGTTAGTTTTTATTATTCGCGTAAAGTAAAGCGACTATATTAAGCTATCCAAAATAATGCAGTCGGCAAATTTTTTGACAAGGCAATGATGATGCTTTTTTGAGGAATGCCTGATGGGACCGCAGAGTTGTCATAAGCGATATAGTATCGATAGCACTCCATGATACTTTGGGTATTTTTAGTAAATTTGTATTAAATATCGCTATGAAAAACTAGGTGGCAACGTTATATGAGCCAAAGAATTGATATACCAGCCCTGGTAATCCATATATATAATGTGCATTTGTTTTGTCTACAAATATTGTCTGATTTATCGTTATTCTATGTGACGGTTGTATAATATTATTACCGTGTTAATCATGTAAAACGGATTGTAACGTCCGTTTAAATACGTTTATGATTTTTTGTATTTGTCAATAAAATAGTATTAGAGACTCACATTAAAGAGATAGCGGACAGCTGATCCGACTTAACTCAAACCAAAAATTATCACACCTGCGACAAAATAAAATAAAATATTTACAATATTGCCACTTAAAGCGCATAATATCGCTCTCAACATAAACATACACCTATAACGGCAATTTAATTGGAAATGGCGCTGCCGAGAAATCTAATAGCAAAGATCTGTAAGTAAAATAGAATTTTGCCTCTATGAAAGTAGTTCTCATACTTATTAGGCGACATCCATACATGCATCTGTATGACTGTTCTGTGTGTGTGTGTGTGTGTGTGTGTGTGTGTGTGTGCGTGAGGTATGCTCAGCCTGTTTTGGCAAATAACATGCAAATAAGTGCATGTGGGATGTAGCCCTTGTTAGGAGCTGTAGAGTTACACATGTGCACACGTGTGTGTGTGTGTGTAAATAGTGCGTGCGTACATAGACCTGTATTGGAGTTAGGTTAAGATGAGGTCACGACAACAACTACCATAAACAGATAACATAAACAGACTAGAAATGTATATTAACATAAACAACTTGCCAAATATCATAGCCATAACAGCAGGAACATTAGCGCGTACCGTATTTGTAGCCCATGCTGTTGCATTCCGGGACATTGATATGTATGTTCATATAATTTAGTATTAAAATATATACAAGTACCAATTGTAATACTTTGTTAGCATTATTTAAAAGTAAATAGTAAGGAAATCGGACGTGATTTGGAGACTCCGCCAAGGAAAGCCCCTTCAAATTCCAGTCTTACACCTGCTTGTCCGACTTAGTACTTTTCAATAATGACAATCCATGATGAACATATTTATTTCATACACCAAACATTGTTTTCTATGTGCACAGACGACATAAAGGCACACGATGGCAAAGTCACAAGCCTCGATTTGGGCGAGACGGGACGCGTGCTGGTCACTGGAGGAGAAGATCGCAATGTTAATCTGTGGGCTATTGGCCAAGACGAGTGCTTCATGGTTTGTATGCTTAGCGAAAGAATAAAAACAATATGCAAAAACTAATCCAAATTTTTCCAATCAACAACAACAACAGTCTCTGACGGGCCACAATCGTTCGATTGAATGCGTGCGCTTTGCATATAAGGATAATTTTGTATATTCGGCTGATGATATTGGCATCATACGCAGATGGGATCTGAATGCCCAAAAGATCTATTCAACATTGAACGGCCACATGAAAAGTGTGCGAACATTGGATTTTAATCCGTCTGGAGAATATGTGGTGTCTGGTAGCAATGACACAACTGTTAGGTAAGTGCACACAACCATTTCCACCGTATGGATAATATTAAGTTATTGTTTATATATAATGTCCATTATAATATATGTTATTTCGATAAGTGGGCACTCAATTGTGTCGCAACTCTAATTGACTGAAACTTGAAGCAAAGCAAAGCCCATACACATACATATTCAAACAGAGATCGTATTACTTTTGGCATAATTCCATTCTATCCTTGTACCAAATGCTATTTATGTCCCACACAGCTTTTATTCTAAACGGCTTTTGCAATTACACAATCAGTTATCAATTAACCGTGGCTCCCCTGAAACCTTCTGCTGAATATTGTTTATTTATGTACAGCTTAAGAAGTGCGCGTTACTTGAGCTCTAGTCTATGGTTTAAAACGGGACGGAAGTAGTACTGCCGCCTCTCTCTCATACATTAAACACTCCAACTAAATCTTTATCGGGGGCGTATGTAACAGCTGCATGCGTCATTCCATTTGCTTTATTTTGGCCAAGATTTGAGGCAATGTTGTTTTGATTGTCCTGTACTAACTGAAAAAGGGTATATTGCAGCTGTGTCTATCAGTCGGTTTATATGCAAATACATATCTCAATGATTTAGTTATCTTAGCATAAGTCTGTCTCTTTGCTGCAGGCGGAAGCTAATATATATTTCTATATTATATATGACTTGTGGGATATACACAAAAATCTGATGTATATGACTGTATTTAATCATCGGGCTGTGATTTTTCTTGTTTAAAATAATCTTTGGGTTTCAGACTCTTAATCAGTTCTTATCTGCTTTTTATACTTTTGTATATATATATTGCTATATGTTTGAATGTTGCTAAAGATTTATTTTCCTTTTAATTTTCTACTCAACTTCGCTTTTACTTCTCTTATTCTCTTATTACAATCGTACAAAGTCCAAAAATGTTCATTTAAATCAAATTCATATAAAAGCAGTATATAAAAAAGAAGTAAAAAGTCATTTATTAAAAAATAAACAAATGGACAAACAATTTTAACATATTATTAAATTTATATTGCAATATTTTATACCACCGCCTGGTTATGTAGTTATATTTTTGCTATAAATGTAGTTCATAATGTTTGCATTTTCTTAATTAGATTTAACTTTTCAAGCTGAAATCGTATTTACAATTTAGCCTTAGAGTCCTTCAAGTCGACATAGGCGCCCGAAATGACCTCTTTGCCAGTCTCAACAATTAGGGTGCGGAAATGAATGCGTGCACCTTCCTTCCACATATCAATCTTGAGCGTTTGTCCGGGCAAAACTGGGCCCGAGAAGCGCACTTTTACTGCCTTGAATAGGGCGCTGTTGTTGTTGGCGTATTTGCTCAGCACGGCCCTAACCGAATATCCCAGGGAGCAGAGTCCATGCAATATGGGTGTTTTGAAGCCAGACAAGCGAGCGAAGTTGGGATCAATATGTAATGGGTTCAGATCACCGGAGAGTCTATAAAGTGCAGCTTGATCCTCATTGGTCTTGTACTGAATCGATGAGTCGGGCGCACGGCTGGGGGCAGCAGCCAGAGGCACGACGCCGGCAATGGGCACCTTTTTGCCGCCAAAATTGCCAGCGCCAACAACAAAGATGGCGCTTTGGTTCTTAACCAAAAGGCGGCCGTTCTCATCGAAGGACTCACAGCTAGTCACAACCACAGCACCGGAACCCTTGTCCATAACGTCGAATACTTTGCCCTTGGTCAGCAGTTTGCCACTGGTGGGCAGATCGTCAACAATTTCTAAATACTGTTCACCGTGCAAGATGTTGCTCAGGTCTGCACCGCTATTGGGCAGCGCGTTGCTTACCAAAGGGCTGGACATGGTAACCATCAAACCGGGCAGCACAAAGAACGATGGGATTGGTGAAAAGTCGACATCGTTCTCATACAAAAAGCGCATGTCATTGCCGTTTTTGGTTGATGCACCGATGCCCAGAGCATACAAAATCAGCTCCCTGTTGCCGAACGTGAAACTATCCTCGACAGCATCCTTGTCGCCGGATTTCAGGTTCTCAAGCACCTCCAGCAGGGAGCCGGATGCCTCTGCAATGGCATTTAAGTGTTTCGCCTCCGACATGTCCGTCACCTTGCTCCATGCACTTTGCACATACTCGAGTGTAACTGGATCCTCTAGAGATGGTCGCACCACAGATCCCTTGCCACGCACCGTATGCACCTTGGTTGCCCAGCCGGCGGCGCTTTCGATATAACTGCCTATTTGGTCAGTCAAAGATTAGCAGGGAATATATTATCAAAAGACAAAAAAAAATACCCAAAATACGCACCATTGTCCTCACAAGACTCGTGGCACAAGTACACAACAACGGGCGCAATAAGGCTGGGCTTCAGCTCGTTGAAGAGTATGTCGGGCAAAATGCCCTCGGTCATGCGACTGGCTGCTGTAGGAATGATTACATTGCAGTGAATGTTATTCTTTTGGCCCTCAATGGCAACCGTGTTGGCAAGTCCAACCAGTCCCATTTTGGCTGCCGAGTAGTTGGCCTGGCCAAAGTTGCCATAGATGCCCGAATTGGACGAGGTCATTATAATGCGTCCAAAGTTCTGCGCCTTCATGTGTGGAAAGGCGGCTTGTGTACATTTGAAGCTGCCCTTTAGATGCACAGCGTTTACCAGATCCCAGTCCTGATCCGATGTCTTCACAATGCTGCGGTCACGCAATATGCCAGCATTGTTAATAAGTATGTCCACACGTCCGAATGCCTTGATGGCTGTATCGATGACCTTTGCACCATCAATTACCGAATTGTAGTCGGCCACAGCCTCGCCGCCGCTCTTGCGGATTTCCTCGACAACCACATCGGCGGCACGCTGAGAGGCGCCTTCGCCCACATGGCTGCCACCCAGATCATTGACCACCACTTTGGCACCACGCGATGCCAGCAGCAGTGCATACTCCCGTCCGAGTCCAGCACCGGCGCCGGTCACAACAGCCACACGGCCATCAAAACGCAATTTCGCTGCCGAAGTCATTTTCTATATAGACTTGTTGTATAAACTTGTTCTGTACAATCCGGTTCAACCAACTGCCAATCGTGCTGTGAGGCGCCTATGAATGAAAAACTGTTGCTTAACTCTCAATTGTCGACGAACTTTCAACCTCAAATACAGAAAATAATAGCAATTTGTTCCCTTGATATGATATCAGCAGTTGATTAGTGCACACATACATATATGCACACACACACACACATGCATACACATACATATACAAAGGTATGCCTATATGCATTAAAACCTTTCCTTTTTTCGTATATGTATGTACTTCTCTCGTTAATAAAAGTTGGATTACGTATAAACTGAATATGTTGAATGTTTGATCCAAGTCCAATGGGCACACACAATCAAACAACTTTTCTGCATGCCGATAATTACGGCTTTATATTAAGTGCGTATGTTCACATCTATATATATATTGACAAAACTGCACACAAAACTTACACCAGTTATTCCTAATGTGCAAATAATTTACCTTTACTAGATGTATTGTTTCTTAAAGTTAAAGATTATCGTTGTATCGCCGGTACAAAGGGCAGTTTTCACGGATGATAAGCAAATTGAAAAAGAAATGAAAACATAAACTGGATGATGGACTTAGGTTGACAACAATAATAATGTTGCCAGATTGTTTGAAGCAACAGAATGGCAGCCCTTATTTGCAATGATAGTATTTTTTTATACTTATCGAACCTATCGAAAACGATGCGACAGTTTTTTTTTCTCACTATGCATATATCGATATTGATGGAGCGCCAGTTTAGAATACAAATCGTTATTTTTCAAGTGTATTTTTATATCTTGTAAAATTGTAAAAATATTAATAAATATATTTTAATATTCATTTTAGACTTTGGGATGTTCAAAACGAAAATAAGTGCATTAAAGTTTGCAAGGGACACATATCTCATGTAAATTCGGTTAAATTTTCACCTGATGGACTTTGGATCGCTTCTGCTGGCCTGGAAGGATCAATATTAATTTGGGATATACGCAAAAGCAAACAAATAATGGAGTTTATGGCAGATCCGCCCGTTACAGCCATCACTTGCATTCAATTTCATCCCTTTGAATTTTTACTGGCAGCGGGCCGAGTTGATGGCACAGTGTCCATCTACGACCTGGAGCATCAGCAGCTTGTTTCCCATACAACTCATTTCTATGGACAAGCTATCAGATGCATTACATTTAGGTAAGGTCATTAGCAATAAACTTGTATATAAATGAATGAATCCCTTATTTTATTTACATGCACAGTGAGAATGGAGAGTGCCTATTTGTGGGAAGCGCTTCGGGAATATCTGTGATTAGCTGGGAACCAGATCGTGAATTAGATCACATAAAAAGTACTTGGGCCTCATTAGATGACATGAAAGTTATTAAAAACAAGATTGTATGTTCGCGCCAGTCAAATACTTTACACATTAATTAATTTATATCTACTAACTTTGCAGATTTGTGGCTGCCATGAAATTGATACTGTGTCAATTAATACAGTAAGCCTTGATTGTGTGATACCTTTCTATCAACCGGCCAATGCTCAGCCCAATTTTAAACATAATTCAACAAATCGAAAAAGCTTTTCACGTGGAAATCAAAAGTTTAGAATATCACTAGGTGGATCAAAGCCGGCCAAAGTTGAGGAAGAGCATGAAGACAATAAGAGTCAAACTTATGATGAGCTGTCGTCACCAAACCTAAGTCTGGAAGTTGTTAATGAGGCGGCATTGGAACAGATTGAACCATCGCCAATGTCGTCATTGCACCATCTACCACAGCCAATTGGTTCATCAATCGAGCCCATATACAATGCGGGCACTGATGCCTCGTTGAAGCATAACAAGTTTGCGCGAGTGCCAGATAATATACCATTTAACATAGAAACTAATTATAGTTATGGCATGGATATGGGTTCCAGCCGTTTATTAAACATTAATGGACCCAGTTCATTGCACGTAGCAGACGAATATAACATATACACAATTGAGAAAGGCGATAGCCTAAATGTGCACGATGTCGAATATAATCCAAATGACAGCAATCCCCCGATTCTTAATAACTATGATAATTATGAAATGGCCGAAGATTTTCCGGTCAATCAAAACTTGAATTATACAGCCAGCACCTACAAGACAGTACCTGCATCAACAATAAATGCCTCATCGAAATCAATTAAAAAGACGTCAACAACTTTGCACAAAAGAAACACAGCAATAAGCAATACCAAACAGACATCGACGGCAATATTTGGTAACAATAAGCTTGGTCAAGCTTCTTCAGTTAGTTCAATGGAATTGCATAAGCTGGACGATAATATGGTACTCAAAAAGTCAACTTCCTCAACTGTTGTGAACAAAAACAAGAGGACCATGGGATCACAGAGTCAGTTTTACAAAGAGAACGCGCAGCAGAAAAATATAAATGTAGAGATCATTACTAAGCCCCCAATGAGGTCACGTACGACTCTAGACATGCGTACCACGCATCAACCAAAGGTTCAGGAGAAACATTCACAGGTGTGTGTATACGTGCATGTCAATTAATTAAATATTACGTTTATTTTTGTTAATATTCGAATCATTACAGCAGCCAATGAACTATCGTCCGGATTTGATACCTACCTCAGGCAAGAATATGAATCGTAATTTCATAGATGAACACTATGATTTTGATATACTCTCAAGATCACATGAAGCAGTACTTCAGGAGTTAAGCAATCGGCAAGCCAGTCTTGATTTGCTTCGTAACTCTACACGGTAAGAATTCATAACAGTATATTTAATCTCTTTTTTATTTGACCAAACTTTAATTTGTTTTTTTTAGCGTCAACGATGTTCTTAGTGCACTGAGGCTAGCTAAATCGGCGGGACGATCAATTTTTATAGATCTTCTAGGGGCGATTCTTGAAAAGCCGTAAGTAATGCCTATCATTTTGTAATATAACGTTTACAATGCATACTTTTTATCAATTTAGATCGTCGTTGAATCTGGACTTTTGCACATTTGTACTACCCGAACTCTATGAACTCTTGCAAAGTCAACACAAATTGTATGTGAACTTCGAGTTAAATCTGATTGATAACAAATAAACACATATTTTTTAATTGCAGTCATTTTACCAGAGCCTGCGATACGTTGCGTATCATACTATCACACTTCTTGCCAACAATTCAGGAAAATCTTGATTCTTGGGCTGCCAATGGATTGGGCGTGGATGTTACACGCGAGGATCGTCAGAGAAAGTGTTTAGAATGCCAAGGGTGGCTGCTGCAAATTAAAAATCTTCCCGAATCTGTTCACTTTGGGTCATCGCTGTCACAGTTGCAAAAGATGATTATTTTTTAAACTATTTATGCGTGTTTAGTTACAAATTGTCCAGCATTACAAATGATTTATTTACTATATATTAATTTGTTATTGAAACTAATTTATAAAACTTTTAATTGTAAGACTTCATAATTTAAATGAAAAGAAAATATATATTTGTAATACATATTTCATAATAATCTTTTGTGTCTACTTTCTCGATGTGGTATCGAACTACAGTTCTACAAATCTCCTGAATTTATAACATATATGCAATGTAGCCCAGGTCGCGGCCAACAGACCGTGGCATGGACAAGTTCGAGCTACTATTGTCTGATCTTTGAAGTTCTGAATGGGCAAACGAATGCATTTTGTGTTGTTCTACTGTGCGTGGCGTGTGTAAATATGTACAAATTGTTGTCAATTGCAGGTGGCGCGCCTATTACCTAACTAAAAGATTCGAGTCGAGTATGCTCTGTATATAAAATAGAAATGTTTCAGGTTATCTTAACGATATTTATCTTAACAGTAAATTGATTGATTGATTTTGATTGATTACTTATGTAAACTGCAATTTTATGCTTCCATGCCCCACCAAACACATAATCATTTATATCTACTTAAACTAGATAGTGCTATGTTCTATCATCATTGCAACAGATTTGCTAAGAATATAACATGAAGATAAACTTGCAGTGTTGCCACCTTACAAGCTGCCAGGTTGTCTAAGGTTTATGGAGGCCATTTAGTTGACAAGGGGATAAAATTTAATTTAGCTACGTGACAACATTACCTTATTAATCGAACAGGTTTTAGAGGGTATTTAAATCCCAAGTTTGCTGCATGAATTGAATTGTGCACTCTTGCGCTTCACAGTTCCAATAGAATGGCCCCAAATGGAACCAAAAAAGAGAATAGAAAAAAACCGTAGCGAAAAACGAAAAAACATTCAAACGGCTGTAAAAAAAACAATTGCCCTTTGAAGTTTAACTTACCATGTCGCCGGATCATTGTTACCATTTGCGTGGCTTCATCTATTAAACTGTAGTCCCATTGGGATCAGTCCAGTTTGCCCAATCAGCGCATTCAGTTGGCTTCGGCTCGGAGTGCAGCACGAAATGCAGCTAAGGACTTTGGCATTATTATGCTCAGTGCATATGCTGGTAATAGCTTGTGCTAACGCGGAGCCTGGCTACGATCCTGCCAATCGGAATGGAGAGCTTGAGAACGTGGACGGCATTATTGATGTGGAGGCAACGGATTCACTGGAGCACGGAGCAGCCGGAAAGCAGCTGAGAGTAGGCAAACCCTTGGCCAGATACAGTGACTACGATTACTATACGCCTGGCAGGCGCCTTAATGACAATTCTCCAGGTGACAACGACTTGAGTGCCTCATCAGCGATTCGTGTACCTGGCGGAGAACAGAATTTGGCACATTTCCGTCGACCGGTCGATGAAATGGCCGCCAAGCCGTTGCCCTGGTATGGCCAGTACTCGGGCAAGTCACTTGCCATGTACCCATCCAGGTCGTATGATCCTTATATTAGGCGCTATGACAGGTGAGCTACAGCCCTAACAATGGGTAACATGTCCTGTCACTGATTGTGGACATCCTGCAGATTTGATGAGCAGTACCATCGCGCCTACCCGCAATACTTTGAGGACATGTACGTGCATCGGCAGCGCTTTGATCCCTATGACAGCTACAGTCCCCGTGTGCCGCAATATCCTGAGCCCTATCTCATGTACCCCGATCGCCAGCTGGACCCGCCGCCACCAAGGGACTACCCGAAGTCCCGACGTGGCTACCTTGACGACGCACTTCCAATGCCGCCAGTTCTCGACTCCTACAGCAACAAATACGCCTCACCCAAGCTGCCCCAACAGCTGGTGTCGCCCCGTCATGAGAGAGTCATCTACTATGCACACCTGCCCGAAATAGTGCGTACCCCCTACGACTTGGGCGTCAGCCGTACGGATCGAAATGGGGCCGCAGCTCTGGTTGCCCAGCCCGTGTCCTATAAACAGAACAAAAAGAAATTGAAAAGCCTGCCACGAGCTGACAACTCGACCAACTATAAGCAAATGTTTTAGTTCAACTTGATGCTTATGCTTTTATATATGCGAATGTTGTTCTATGCGTTTTACAATATTTTTCTTCACTTTACGTTAAGAACTTTTTTTTTTGCAATAAGCATTTCGGGCTTACCTAAGTTTAATATTGTGCACAGAAAAGAACGTATATGTATAGCGCACATTTTAATATACATATATATATTTTTTTAAATTCATTTCTTTTTATATATTTTTTCTTACTCCGAATATCGAGTATATTAGCATATTTAAATAATTCCTAAGATTATTGAGATTACAGTTTGTAATTCAAAAGCATATTTTTTTTTTACTTTTTAATGAACTTTATATTTAAAAATAATTTTTGTTTCAAATTCTAACAAGAACTGCGCATCATCAAATAAATAAATAAGTATACTAAAAATTGGATATATATAATATTTATAAATATCAAAAATATAACTGGGCTTAAGAAGTGCAAAGGACTTGCAAATAGTTTAAAAATTAATTAAAAAATTAAAAAAAAAAACATTCTTAATTTAATTCGGAGTTTATAGTCCGATCTTTTTGAAATTTCTGAAAAAAGGTTTTCATTTTTGAAATAGGGCTTAAATATGGTATATAAATGTGTGCATACTTCGAAAGTTTCTAAGTTTTTTTTCCCCGAATTTTGGGCGATTGTGGGAGGTATCTAAAAAGTCAAAAATTGAAATCCTTATATTCTATACGTGAACCCACCACATCTCTTATAATTTATGAATTATGATAAAATAACAAGTGTAAAAATAGATTTTTATTGATGTTATGAAGTTGGATGGGCTTACCAAAAGAAAAAGACAAACTTGATCTGCATATGGTATATAAAATAAATATTTTGAAGCTTCAAGTCTCTCGAGAACTCTCTTTTTTTTTTTTTAATGCAATGTTTTATTTATTTTTTAGCGCAGTTTATCCATAAATATATGAGCTAAAATAATAAAAATCGCATTTTAACAAAGTCCTCGACATGGCCGCCTTTGAAGAGGGCTGCCTTTACGATGCGGCCGCTCTCTTTGTTATTGTTGGTCAAAGTACTTACTATGTAATTTGGGGTGTTTGTGTTTGCTTAAGGCTAACCTTAAGCAAACGCTTTCGACGGCGACAACTTCTAAGCAGGCAGACACATATGTACATACATACAAGTCAGGCATATAACTCTTGGCGAAGGCCAGAACTGCGGCATTTCATCAAGTCTTTACCCAAGAGTCTCGTTAATTACACAATTCCATTACTTTTGCTTGAGATACTAAAGTTTGCGATTTCTGCAATTTAACTTTCCCGCTGCTCTTGCAAAACAAAGACCAGAAACAAAAAAAAAAAAAAAAGAAGCGAACAAGAAAGATTCGTAATTATGTGCTTATGTACGTGGTCCATGGTCACATCCATCTGAGGCATCACAGTAGCCATTATGGCCTTGCTAGGATTCAGCTCGGCTTGACAAACCCGCAGCACCCAACACCAAACAAAAAGGACAACAAATACTTCTGTAATGCATGGACACGTACGCCTAATTAATGTGCCTTTGTTTGGCACCACATTTGTCAGTGCGAATTAAACGATGTAATCGCATATGTCATCCACTTTGTGACACATGTCAGCTGTTAAATACGTGCCTAAGAAAAATAAACGAATATGCATAAGTATATGAATTCTAGCATCACATTAAAGTGAGCTTTCACGAGTTGATCATTTTAAAGGGAAATAAAAGAAACATTTTAAACTAGATAGGTTAAGCTCATGGTAAGTGATATTTTAAACTCATTGTAAATGTATATGCATGTTGCATCACATTGAAGTGAGCTGTCATCAAATCACATTAAAGTGATATTTCATGAGTTGTACATTTTAAAGGCGAAACAAAGTACAATTAAAATAAAACTAGCTTGTAAAGTTCATGGTAAATTATATTTTTGGCTCATTTTAAATGCATATGCATTTTACTAGTGGGCTTTAATCAGTTGTTAATTTTCAAAAAATAACAACAAACTAGCTGGTAAAGTTCATGGTAAATTATATTTAAAGTATATACATGTAATGTTGCATAATAAAGTGAACATTCATCAACTGTTAACTTTTTAAGAAAAAGTATATCAAATTAGCTGGTAAAGTTCATTGTAAATTATATTACTTACAAGCCAACGACTCAAGTCTGACAGCTATCGATGTCAGGTATACTGGGCATGTGTTTTTATCGGTAAGTGGAATTTGATGATTCTGTCTTAGATTAAGACAAAATGTTAGTTAACAAAGGCGTTCAATTTATATAAACTTACGATATCAGCATGGATGTTGGACCATGCATCTATGTGGAACCCAAGTCGATATTGAGTTTCTGTTTAGAATTGGAAAGCAGGAGTCGATCCAAACATATTAAATATAACTGAGATGGGTGAGATGGGTGTCTTTATACAAGGATTTTTATATAGGTCAGGAATACTGATATGTATATTGATTTTCTTTTAGATTTGGATCTTAGAGTATCCCCTATTCGGTATAGAGGAAAAAGGCTGAAGTTGTTTAGCTATTTACGAGCTTATTTTGGTTGTGCCATTCTTTGGCGTTTCCGCATTATTACTCACAACTTGACACAGACATTTTCGCAGGTCACCGGCGGACACTCACACACACACACACACACACACACACACACAGAGGCACACACGCACATAGAAATGGGCACATAAACACATAACATAAAGTTGAACAGGAGGAACGCGACAACTGCCTGCCCTTGAGGGACATTTTGCATGGGCCATGAATCGTATCGCCGGCAAAGGAAACCTAATGAGCGTACCGCCCACGCACTGAAATGGTCGCAGGGTGTATATGGGACATGGGACATGGGACATGGTAAATGCCAATGATGGCGTGGCATACAACAAAGCAATTTGGCTGCTCGTCCGAAGAAAAAACAATAACAATGATGCACGCGATACTTAAGAAACTTTTGTGGCAAGCCGGCGAATGCGGGAGGGTCGGCGGGT